CCCCAAAACCCCAAAACCCCGTGAGAGAATCTGAAATGATTATGAGCTGTGATTCTAACGATTATAATTCAATTTAAACTTAGATAAAAAGTTTGAAACTTTGCGAAATATAAAATGGATCAATAGAATCAGCAATTGAAGTTATCACAGCTTGTAAGCAATATTTATATGCTCATACTAAATAGAATAATCAAATATTAAGAACTGTAGACATCCCGGGAGGATAGAAATTTCAGAAGATAAGCATAGATTTTTCAACATAGTAAAATACCCAACTTAGCCATTTCACCCAGATTAATCATGTTGATAAAGAAAACGACTTAATCCCATAAAGATTACTAAGCTAGCATTATGTTTCACCCAAGAGACAGAACTAAATATACTTTAAGGATGGAATGGCTTACAGATCACCGAAACAAAACTCTCCCCAAAAAGCATTCAATCTCAGTCCTAAATTCACTTAAATAAACACTCTAGTTTAAAATGATCAGACTCAATCTACACAAATTCTTCTGACTTTATTAGAAAAATCTCAAAGATTAGCTGAAGAAAGTGAGTAAAAGCTTGCTCTAAAAGAAAAGGAATTCTAGTCTACTATAAATTAACTCAAACAATGCCATAAAGAAGAAGTTATAAAGCTAAAGACTGAAATTAAAATAGTTTAAAGTTTGAAAAATATTGAGGCTAAAGATAGTTTTGATAGTATGAGGACTTAATTTACAGACCAGGAGTCGAGAAATAAAGTAATTGACAAGATAAGAGCCCTCCTTGTGAATGAGATGGAGCAGATTACATCTGAAGCAAAATAAAAAGAAAATTCATATTCAGAAGAGATAGTCACTCTAAAGTTGAAAATAAAAGATTTGCAAAACTAAATCGATGCAAAAGAAGTCATTTTCTTCGAGAGGGAGCTTCAACATTAATAAGATATCTAGATAAGAGATGAAATCATCAATTAGCAAAATAATGAATAAAAGCAGCTTAGAGATTAATACAACTCTGAACTCGAAAAACTTTAAATTAAGAATCATCTTTCATTGAAAGAAAATTAGCAAGCTAACTAAGAAATCATCATTTCAAAAGAATCAGAAGATTTGAAAACTAGCGCTTTTGAAGAACTTTTACATGATTTTAAACAACTTTAGTCAGTTCTTACTCAGCATGATGAAACAACAGCAGATTAACTCAACAATTTACTAAACCAGAAAATTTAAAGCGAAAACTTCTACATAGAGAAGATAAAACTTCTAGAGAATAATTATAAGTAGTTGCACAGACTTTAAGTTGGGTCTTACGATGCAAAAGAGAAGGTCATCAAAGAAATTGAAAGCAAGTGCTCCATTATAGAGTATTCGAGAGACATCGAGCTTGAAGGCTTCAAGAACCATCAGTTGAATATCACTCATAGCCTAATTAGCTAGTCGAGTGAACTCTATAATAGTATTAAGAAATCATTTGATTTAGACAAGAAATAGATATCATTCATTGCTGAATTAGTCTCTGAAGTATAGAAGAAAATATAAAACCAACAGAACATAAACTATAACTCAACTGAGAGAATTATTCAATAACTCTAGCAGGAAAACCACATCCTCAGATATTAGGTGGATAATTTACAAATGTAAGCTACATTAGTACATATTAATTTTCTATAGTGATATTAAAAATGGCTAGAATGATGAGAATCAAAGCCTCATTAGGCTTAAATTTGCTTTATAAAATTTACTTAATGATTTACGCTAAAAAATACTTACTTACGTATTGTATGAGAAAGAATAGAATAATTTGCAGGAGCAATTTGAAAAAAGAATATAGGATCTTGATTAAATTCATTCTAAGAAAGAAATAGAGGATAGTGAACTCATCTAGTAACTAACAGATGAACTCTAGAAAGTAAAGTTTATGCAAAGAAAAGAAGAGTAATTGAACACAGAATTAAAGTTAAATATGGACAAGTATAGAGAAGCTATGGATTTAAAAGACTTAGAAATTTAAAAGCTAAAGCAGCTAATTTAAGAAATGGAAAAGAAAGTACAATTGAATGAAGGAATATCTAAGGAAGAATGCTCAAGCATTATATCGAAGGTCACACAAACTCATTCAAAGCTTCTTGATAAGCATTATCTGAAGAAGATTGATGATATGACTACTGATTTGAAAGAGAAATCAGAGAAGCTTGATGAACTTCTTGTGAGATACTGTAGAATAGTCAATCGTTACAAAAATCATGATTAAGAGTAGCTGCTTACCTGGCAATCTAGGTAAAAAGCCTACACAGATTAAATTTAACTTTTGAGACAATAACTCGAATCCACATAGGATAAAGAAACTCATGAAAAAAGATACTAAGAGATGGTAGAAGTAGTATAAGACTCAATAGTAATAGAATAAGAGCTCTTGAGTAAGTATCAAGATGAAAATGAAAAAGAATACAAGAGATAGATAAAAGTGCTAGATCAAGAAGTTGATAACCTACATCAGCAAAAACAACAATTAGTAAAAATTATATCAGATTATGAACAGCATTATACTGAGGTTAGCAAAGAAAGAGTTTCTTAAAATGAAAAACTTAAAGCTTTGAATGACTCGTACTAATCATATTTGGACTAAAGATCATCTGGATCTCTACAAGATTTAATGTTAAAGTATGAAAACTTGGTAAAGAGACTGAGTGAATCACAGGTCAAGCATCTTCAAAACATTTATGATTAGATTGTAGAACAAAGAATATAAACTGAAAATGATTAGTAAAATCTAAAGGAAACTCTTGCTTAGTAGTATCTGGTAGTAGTCCAGTACATGAATGATCAGATAGAGTAGTTAAAGTCATAGGATCTTGTTTCTTAAAAGAGACTGTCTGAAGATGAACAGCAGATCAAATTTTATGAAAAATAGCTGTCTTAGATGAGAATAGAGTATTATTAAATGAGAGAGCTCTATGAAAAGCAAAACTTAAGATGCTAAGAGAGTAATAGCTATAAAAATACTAGGATAAATGATAACTTCACCAATGAATTAAATGAATAATTAGAGAAACTAAAAAATTGCAAAAAAGTACCAGAGATTAATTAATGTGTTAGAGATATTCATAAACTAGTCCAGAATCTACTATCAGATGTGGAGATTGATCAGAGATTCGGCAAATATGTATAGAATGAGAGATTCACTAGACTTTAGAATGAGATTGATCAAATTAAGAGATAGAAGGAGCAAGTAATACTCTAAGCCTCAGAGGATAGCAAGGACTTCAATTTATTCATAAAGGAATACAAGAAGGTAGATGAGCAGAGATTAAGAGACGTAGAACATGAAAATGAGGTGCTTATCAATATTCTCTCTGGCAATATGAGAGACAAGTACAAAGAATTAAAAGACAGGCTTAAGTAGTATATGATTTCAAAGCATCAAGACAACTCATTGCTATTAGCTGCTGCAACTGGCATTCAAACATTGAATCATAATAAGAGCTCGTAGTCAATTGGAAAATAATTTGGCAGCTAACTGATTGTGCTATCTCCAAATAAGTCATCCCAAAAGAGTTTGATTAATAATACTACAACATAAATAGACTCTACCATGAATCTAAGTTGTGTAGCAATTCCTAATTAGAAAGTAAACAAGCAATCCTTAAGAAAGGAAAAGAGTTAAGTGAGAAAAAATAATAATTTGAGTCTGAAGATCTGACATCATGAAGCAAGTCAAAAACTACACTAAATGAAGATTTGTTTAATAGAAATTTAATTTCATGAAATCATTTAAAATTTAATATAATTGAGACGGGGTTTTGGGGTTTTGGGGTTTTGGGG